AGGATCTTATGTATATGTGACAATAGATCAAGGAAACCTGTTGCAATTGTTTTACAATGTGGGAAGGAGATGACAGAGACGGGGAGGTGAGGGTGATGAGGTACATTGTACGCATATATGGAAAAGTTACAATGAAACCTCTCTTGTATAACTAATCTATGCTAATAAACAATTTTAAAACGAACCTTTGGCAGTTGGAAATATACTCCTCTTTATTCTAGAAGATTCAGTTACTTTATTTTCTCTGACAATATCCATTGTAGCTATAGCAAATAGAAACAGCCAAAGTAGAGTTATTCACTAATAAGAATGAAATTAGCCTGGGCACCAGTAACTTTAGGTACTTGGGGGATGCGCTCTGAGGATTGAGGTTCAAAACCAGCCCAGCCAGGAAAAAGTCCATAAGACTTACATCTAATTAACCACCAAAAAACTTGAAGAAGCCAGGCTTATACACGTAATCCTAGCGACTCAGGATGCTGAGGTTTGAGGATAATAGTTCAAAGCCAGCTGGGGCAGGAAAGTTCTTGAGACTTCTATCTCCACTAAACTACGAAAAAAAAAAAAGAGAAAAAAAAGAAAAAAAGAAAAGAAAAAAGAAAAAGAAAGAAAAAACCTGGAAGTGGAGCTGTGGCTCAAGAGGTAGATCCTTGAGTACAAAGCTCAGGGACAGTGTCCAGGCCCTGAATTCACACTCCAGGCCTGGCAACACACACACACACACACACACTAAACAACAAAACTAATTTTGTTTTTTTGTGCCATTTATCCCTGAGCTGCTTTTGCTCTAGTCTAGCATTCTACCACTTGAACCACAGTTCCATTTCCAGCTTTTTCCATGATTAATTGGAAGTAAGTGTCTCATGGACTTTTTTGTCCAGGCTGGCTTTGAACTGGGATCTCCAGATCTCAGCCTCCTGAGCAGCAAGGATTGTAGGCATGAGCTGCCCACACCTAGCTGGAGCTAATTTTTTAATCAGCAAGAATGCAAGACAATATTGTCATACAGTACTGTAAGGTTTCTGGAGAATGAGACATTTACTACACTAGGTAATAATATCACTATTGTGGTTACATCATTGCCCTGGCTTGTTTGCTTAACAGCTGTTTTTTGTCCTTTCTTTCCTTTGAATTCCATCACATTCTTGGTCTCACTATAAAATTTTGGGAGGATGTTAGTTAAGCAAAGTTTAATTCCCCAGTTTTTCTGAATGAATAAATATTTGCACTAAGTATAGGGATATAAGAGAGCAGTTTGCATATTTGATACAGAAACATCATCTTAGAATGTGTGCTTTAGCTCGGTACCAGTGGTTTACGTCTGCAAGCCTAACTACTCAGGAAGCTGAGATCTGAAGATCTCAGTTTCAGGCCAGTCTGGGCAGGAAAGTCCATTAGAATTTTCTAATTACCAAAAAAGCAGACAGTAGAGTTGCATTTCAAATGGTTGAGTGTCCACCTTGAGCAGAAAAGCTAAATGACAGTGCCCAGATCCTGAGTTCAAACTCAGTATTGGTGCACATAGACATACACACACAGAATGTATGGTTTAACCTCCTAAGAAAAGTGTAAATTTGTATTTCTCTGGCCAACGAGGAAGCCCAATACCTACTTGTATAGCTGAGGTACTAGGAAACTCTGAAGGCCAGGGTCAGGCTTGGGTCTCTACAAACATGGTAGGAATCTGTGCACCTCATATTATGAATTCCTCTTCTCTGCTCAGATTCTAACTCCTCTGAAACAAGAACCGTCCTGCCATTTGCTCACTGCAGTATATGAAATTATCATGAAGTTTTTAAAAAGGAAATTCATCTTCTGAAATACAAGCTAACATAGTCTTTAGTAAATTGAATAAAATGACTTTTCTAATGATTTTCTAGATAAGTCAAGCAAAGAGTAATGACCTTTTCATAAAGAGGTTCATGATACCTTTGATAGAAATCTCATATGTCAAAGTGCTGAGGTCTTCAGATTTATTCGCATCTATACAACTTACCCAAGGGAATTATCCTTAGGTCAAAATAAAACCAGGCCAAGCTTATTACTTTGAAATGCTTACAGCTTAGCCTTCTCTCCTTTCCTTCCCTTCCCTCACCCCCTCTCCTTCTCTCTTCTCTATTCTTATACTATATCTACAAACAAAAAAAGTCAAAGACAATCAGAAATAAATGCCTAAAGAGTAGTCTTGCTAAGAAAAAGGTGTGTGTGTGTGTGTGTGTGTGTGTGTTTAAATAACTAAGTGCTGGAACCTTGTACATTCCAGACAAGGATACACTCTCAGCCATGCTGTCTTTGAACTTAACATCTTACCATTTTTTTGTGTGAAATGACTGGGCATGGACACATTTTGAGAACTTCATGTAAGGTCATTCATGGAAAGCCATTGAAAAGGCATTGAAAGAATTGTTTTTCTGTGGGATAACTCTGAAACCAGATTTCTCAAATTTATCTGCATATGGGTAATGATTTCTTTAGCTGAAAAAATATAGTAAGCTTTGTAAGTTTTTTAAAGCACCCAACTTCCAAATTAGACACAGAATCATATTTGCAACTTAATGATTATTTCCTTTTCACATGTAGTACCTATAAATTATATCTCTTGAGATGTTGTACTTGCAATCCTAAGGGCTAAGAGGCCTGAGTTAAAAAAGAAAACATGAAAATATAAGTTTATTCCATCCTAAATACTTCAGTTATACTTCTGGCAGGGGGTGCAGCTCAGGGTACAGAACATGCTTAGTTGGGTTCAATCCCCAGCACTGAAAACCAAACCCAACCCACTTCTTACATGTTTCTCATTGGTAAAAAATAAACTTTGTAATTAACATCTATCTCCAATCTATGAGAAAGAGGACTGGATGATTATGCTATATTCACTAACCATCCAGACTAGTCCTTCGTAAGAACAAGGTCATCAATCCATTGACAGGGCAAAGCCCTTGTACCAGGATCACTTTCCTGCACTGCTGCACCAGGACTGTCTCCAATGGTCTTTGTGGAAGACACATTCAAAACATAACTACATGAATGCAGTTATTCAAGCACAGAATCTTTCAAACACCTATGAAAGTAGGAATTGGACAATGAAAAAACATTTGTGCACTGTATATGAGGCACAAAGATGTGGAAAAGTTGCACTTGTCAATCTTCTCGTTGGTATTGACACATCCATTGTCTGAGCCCTGGCATCTCAGAGTTGGAGCTTATGAAGTTACACCACTCTCTCTGAAAAGTAACTGCCAAAACAAGTATGATCATTTCCTGGTAACAAAATACACATGCACATTAAGATGAAATATCTAGTGGACTCTCCCCAACCTCCTTTTTTGGAGAGGAGTATGTAGTCCAAGCTTCCTTCTCCCTTGCAATCCTGCTGGAGCCTCCAAAGTGCTAGGATGACAGGTGTGTCACCACCCCCAGCATCAGAAATTCTTTGAAGAGGGCTGGGAAGTGGATCAGTGGTAGAGCGCTTGCCTTGCAAGCCTGAGGCCCTGAGTTCGATTCCTCAGCACCACATAAGCAAAAAGAAAAAAGCCGCAAGTGGCGCTGCGGCTCAAGTGGTAGAGCGCTAGCCTTGAGCTGAAGAGCTGAGGGACAGTGCCCAGGCCCAGAGTTCAGGCCCCATGACTGGACCAAAAAAAAAGAAAAAAAAAAGAAATTCTTTGAAGAGATGACTGATGAATCTGAAGACTTTTTATTTTGTGGCGCTAGGGATGAAATCCAGGGCCTTACATATCAGGCAAGTATTCTGTAACAGAGCTACATCAGCAGCCCAAATATGAAGTTTTAAAGATTTCATTATCCAGGTAAAAAGTGACAGCAGAGCAGGGTGTTGGTGGCTCACATCTGTGATCCTATCAGGAGGCTGAGATCTGAGGATTGCTTTTCAAAACTAGCCCGGGCAGGAAAGTCCATGAGGCTCTAATATCCAATAAACCACCAGAAAACCAGTGGCACTGTACTCAAGAGGTGGGCACTAGCCTTGAGCTGAGGGATGGTGCCCAGGCTGAGTTCAAGCCCCATCACACACACAAAAAAAAGTGACAACAGAAATAAGTCATCATCATGGTTGATAAATACATTTCTCTGATAACATTGAACAAAAAGCAGGCAACACTTGCTTAGGAAACATGATATAGACCACCAAAGCTCCAGTGTTCACAGTCAACCTGGACAACAGTGACAATCTCTTAAAAACAGAAAACCCAATCCCAGAAGTCCCTGGTAGCATAAAACCTGCTTTAACTTGAACTGACTCTTAAATAAGAAAGAATCTTTGGTAATGTCTGATTTATAAAACTACTTTTGCAGCCAGGTGCCAGTGGCTCACACCTGTAATCCTAGCTACTCAGGCCTGAGATCTGAGGTTCACGGTTCAAAGCCAGCTGGGCAGAAATGTCTGTGAGACTCTTATCTCCAATCAACTACCAGGAAACTGCAAGTGGTGCTATGGCTCAAAGTGGTAGGTAGAGTGCTAGCCTTGAACAAAAAAGCTCAGGGACAGTGCCCAGGCCCTGAGTTCAAGCAAAATGGAGGTTTAAGTATTTAAAAAGTTCCTGTGGAACTTAAGTTTTAGGCAGATTTGTGCAAAACTTTACATCTGTTCTTGCAGAAAATACTTATAATGCAGAAAAGCCATAACCCTTCCTCCTGTTGTGTTATCTGATATGGAAGCAAACTACAAGGACTGCTGTACTTCGGAAGTATATTAGCGATTATAGTGTAAAACTTATGTGTGGGCACCCTTAACAATTGAGAACAAGAAAAATATGAATTAGATGTTTTCTATTCTCTTCACATTTCTGTTCTGAGTACTAGACAGTACTCAGTATTAGTATATTCAGTATTAGTGCTCCTATCAAAACTTTTTCTAATTTTTAATTATTTTTCCAGTCGCAGGGCTTGAACTCTGGGCCTGGGTGCTAGGTCAAGACTAGCACTCTACCACTTGAGACACACCTCCATTTCTGGCTTTTTCTGTGATTAATCAGCAATGAGTCTCAAGAAACTTCCTGCCCAGGCTGGCTTCAACTGCAATCCTCAGATCTCTGCCTCCTGAGTAGCTAGGATTACAGACATGAACTACCAGCACCTAACATGTCTGTTTTACATTTAAAACTATTTGTGTCATTAGATAGGAAAGAGATGTTGAATTTTCACATAAATTAGTTTACAAAAGAAAAAATATTAGAATATAGACATAATCTTCTACTAAATTGTGATTCTTTACAAATCTTTTTCATGTTAGTCATCAGATGATCCTAGATGGAGCAATAATTGTGATGAGTTTCCTAATGAAGCATTCCAATCTCTTTGTATACCCGCAAAAGCTCCAACTGTGTGAAAAATAAAAATAAAACCACTGGGTGGGTGGCTCATACTTGGGGTCCTACCTCATACTTGGGGTCCTACCTCTTTTAGGTGGAGAAAAGGAGCCAGGTTTTAAAGTCAGCCCAAGCAAAAAGCTATGGAGATCCTATCTCAACTCAAAATCCCACCATGGTGAAGCCTGGGAACCCTGCCAACACAGGAGCTCAACGCAGGAAGACTGGATTGGGTTAAGCTCTGCTATGCATAAACAAAAACATAAAAATATTAAAATGAGACAGGGTGCCAGTGGCTCACACCTGTAATTCTAGCTACTCAACAGGCTGAGATTTGAGGATGCTGGTTCAAAGTTAGCTTGGGCAGAAAAGTCCACAAGACTTTTATCTGCACTTCAAGCCCCAGAACCTGCACCAAAAACAACAAACAAAACACTAAAGGGCTGAGGGAGTGGCTCAGGAGGTAGAGCCTACTTAACAAGTGTGAGTTCCAAGTTTAGTGTTATTAAAGAAGAAAAAAGAGAAAAACAATTTTTAATTTTTATCTATACCAACATATCTAGTTTTTTTTTTTGCTTCCAGTCATGGGGCCTGAACTCTGGGCCTGGGTGCTATCCTTCAGCTCTTCAGCTCAAGGCTAGCGCTCTACCACTTGAGCCACAGTGCCACTTCTGGCTTTTTTCTTTTTGCTTATGTGGTCCTGAGGAATCGAACCCAGGGCCTCCGGCATGCAAGGCAAGCACTCTACCACTGAGCCACCTTCCCAGCCCCTCTAGCTGTTCTTAAAGCATATAAATAAACAAGAAGGTATTTAAAAAATCCTACTCCCTGGAAGCTGTACAGTGTTTCAAGTAGTAGAGTGCCAGCCTTGAGCAAAAAGCTAAATAAAAAGCTTAGCTTTTTCGCACTCAGGCCCTGAGTTCAAGCACTGTAACTAGCACAAAATATAAAACAAAAGAGAAAGAAAAAAATCCTATTGCACATTGTACCGATGGTTACAGAACTTCTATTTGCCAAAATGGAATGCCGTATTATTTCAAGTCACACCAAGTATTCACACAGAGACAATTTGTTTAAGAAAAGTTTTACTAATGTGTTAATATTTCAGCAAAGTTAAAGTTATTGCAACAGGTTTAAAAGGCAGACACACTATTACAGGCTATAAAGTAATGAATAAGTTTTATACAATTAAATATTACAGACAGATGGGATATATTAACTACCAGACAGAAATTAAATTTGTAAGACTAAATCCAGTATTAGCACCTACAATATCTCTGAAAGTTGGAACTTTTTAACTGCTTCATTCTCTAATACATTCCTTAACTTTCTCCCAAAACAGTGCTCTCAAATCCTGAAAAAAATGGAGAACATAAGAAACTCCAGTACTAAGAACGTATAGACAAAAGAACTAGAAATCTCGACTGAAGACTTGAGAGTTTCACATGGGTCACTTAGCTCACTTTATTTGAACCAAACCTAACATTTCTGTGTACTGAATACTGTATATGAGGAGAATATGGATCAGAAAGTTTGTCAGTAGGATTAAAAATTAGCAATATACAGTATTATTCCTATCAAACTTTTTCTCATAAGTTATATTTATAACAAAACTATAATTAAAGTATTTATTACACTGTGTATTACACATTCAGGAACAGAGCAGGGACATTTATGTGTTTGACAATTTAGCATCCACTTCATTGTGCTTATTTGTGTAAATGAACAAGCAACACAAACCACATCTTCCCACATCCAAAGGTAATGCAAATCAACCTGTCTCCCAAGAAAAGAATGAACATTGCATTAAATACTGATTTAATGAGCAATAATTGCTGTAATAAAACAAACAACATTATACTTCCTTTTTCTTTGAGCTTCGGCTCGAGAAACTGAACAGCAGAAATAAATCTTAAGATCTGAAACATGGCAGAAATGAGTTCTCTGAAATCTGGGAGATGCACTGGCAAAACCACAGACATAATACACCCCTCACCTAGAGAAAAGCTTTTTATTAATCTGAATTTTGGCTAAGATATGACTTCTTGAATATAAAGCTACCAGGGAAACTGGCTCAAGGAATGAAGAGAACCAATGGCAATTTCTTACCTGGTAGCAGGTAAGAAAGAAACTTTGTATTAGGCCCTCTAACTGCATACTTTATTAAATGACTGAATTAAAAAAAGTGAAATGCTTCATTGTATTTTCTCAGAAGCTAATCAAAAGATGACAAGTCCTGCACAATTTGGAGACACAAAGTGGATGCTGAGTGACTAGAAGTCACATCAGGTGTGGAATTTTAGAAAGTTAGTCCTTGGCGTAAATGGCACCATGGCTCTGGCAGCAGATACAAAGGAATGATGCTCTGGAGAGGAGGTAGGGACACTCTGCGATCGGCCCATGGACAGATGAGGGTTCCAGCTGGAGGTGGGATCTGTAAGTAGAGGTGAAAAGTAAGTATTTTAGAAATGGATGTTAAACATGACCTCTAAAACTATCCTTACTATGTCAAAATGATAGGTCCACCCAGGAGAAATGTCCCCTTCCTTTTGTTCTCTTTCCATTCACCCTAGAAGTCCCCACCCAGCACCTGTAAGGCAAGCAACTGGCATGCCAACGGGTAGAGGGAGGTCCCTCAGGCTCTGAGGTCATGTTCCCATCCTCTGAAACTCCCACGTGGTTTAGGTGGGAGAGGGAGAAGCCAAACTGTGGCCCACAAAGCCTGTGGAACAAGAGTATGGCAGGAGAGATTATATAGGGGAGAGCAGGAAGTGTGGCCACAGCAGATGTGGAGGTGGCTTCACCCAGAAGGAGAGGAAATGGCCTGGGGGGGCACCTCCCATTGCCCCCAGGCATGACAGTTGCTCACTTACAGGTGCTGGCCAGGGACTTCTAGGGTTCAAGGGAATACAACAATGGGAAGGGGCCATTTCTCCTGGGAGGACCTAACACAAATGATAACAGCTTATGTTATTTTCCCTTAACCCAGAATTCTAAGAAAATTCTAGGATTTTTATCCAAAGCAATATACAACATAATAGTCTAGAAATCAAGTCATGTACACTGACATCTCCAACACACTGGGAGAGGTGGTGCAGCACAGGGCCATTGCGGTCACAGGGAGAGGGTGCCTTGACAGCCACTTACCTGTTGTCTAACCTTGGACAAGTACCTTCAGTTCTCTGGGCCTCAATCTCTCTCTCTCTCTCTCTCTGTCTGTCATGGGGCCTAAACTCTGGGCCTGGGCATTGTCCCTCAGCTCTTCAGCTCAGGGCTAGCACCTTACCACTTGAGCCACAAGACCACTCCAGCTTTTTCTGCTTATGTGGTGCTGAGGAATTAAACCCAGGGCTTCATGCATGCAAGGCAAGCGCTCTACCACTGAGCCACCTTCCCAGCTCCCTCAGTCTCATTTTAAAAAAAGAAGATAACAATATGTGTGTAGCATAGTTGTGATGATGAGTCATTTACTGTAGTGCTGGCACTAGTGCCAACAAGTATGACATTTTTATTATTGTTTATTACTATGTTAATCATTTCATTTTTTAAGTAAAGATAATCTTTTTTTTTTTCTGGTCGTGGGGCCTGAACTCTGGGCCTGGGAGCTGTCCTCAGCTCTTCAGCTCAAGGCTAGCACTCTACCTTGAGCCTCGGTCCCACTTCCAGCTTTTTCTGCTTATGTGGTGCTGAGGAATTGAACCCAGGGCCTCATGCATGCAAGGCAAGCACTCTACCACTGAGCCACCTTCTCAGACCCTAATAAAGATAATCTTAAGAAGAAACATTATCAGCCTGTCTAATAATATAGCTATGAGTAGAAACCTGACATTAAAAAATTAGGAGGGGAAAATACTTTAGGAATTTTTTTTAAAATGTCATCACCATAGTTTGTATATATTTCTGTTAAATTTCTAATCCCACATAACACACTTCAATCTGCAGACACCTGTAGACTTAAGAAAACTGGTAGAGGGGCTGGGAAGGTAGCTCATGCATGCATGAGGCCCTGGGTTCGATTCCTCAGCACCACATACACAGAAAAAGCTGGGAGTGGTAGAGCACTAGCCTTGAGCTGAAGAGCTGAGGAACAGTGCCCAGGCCCAGAGTTCAGGCCCCTCAACTGACAAAAAAAAAAAAGGAAAAGAAAACTGGTAGAAGTAAATGTATTGTTACAGTCATCCATCCTCAAAGATCTCAGCCCACACTAGATCCTGGAACTTGGGAAACATATAGCATTGAAAACTAAAGTGAGTTGAACAAAAATATTTGCATCCATGAAACTCTCCAGAAGTTCCTAATGTAAATCTTTCCCATTCAAAATTTCATAGTTGTTTGACTATTGATGGATTAGCCTCTGGTGTGTAATTGCTTAAAGCATCAAACTACCTCTGCAACCATCCTACTAAGCAGCAATAGCTGCAGGATGAGTCATGACAAACAGCTCGCCAGTAACTGCAGCTGCAACGGATAAAACAAACAGCCAATGTCACAGAACAAAAAAACCACAGTTTCTGGTTGCTCATCTGAGAAATATCAGTTTAGAAATTGTATGTGAGAAAATATGGACAAGTAACCCTACGTGTTCTAAAACAATACTTTTTAACTAAAAATATGGTAGATGTCATGATTTAGATCTAAAAGTAGGTATTTTAGAATGTTGAGGATTCAATAAATGACACGGGAGTGGACAAAATGTTTTAAAAACAGCTACTGAGAAAGAGAAGGGGATAATCATCATCCACACAGACAAACTCTTTCCTTTATGTTCCTCCAGCTGCTACAAACACTGAAAGGAAGGCTCAAAATAGGCCTTTTTAAAAAGCCTGGCATAGCTGGGTGCCAGTGGCTCACGCCTGTAATTCTAGCTACTCAGGAGGCTGAGATCTGAGGATCTTGGTTCAAAGCCAGCCTGGGTAGGAAAGTCTGTGAAACTCTTATCTCCAATAAACCACCAGAAGACCAGAAGTGGTGCTGTAGCTCATGTGGTAGAGCGCTAGCCTTGAGCTGAAGAGCTGAGGGACAGCGTTCAGGCCCAGAGTTCAAGCTCATGACTGGAAAAAAAAAAAAAAAAAGCCTGGCTCACACCTGTAATACCAGCTACTCAAGAGGCTGAGGTCTGAAGATTATGGTTCAAAGCCAGTTAGGGCAGGAAAGTTTGTGAGACTCTAATCTCCAATTAAATATCCAAAACCCAGAAGTGGAGCTGTGACTAAAATTGTAGAGTACCAACCTTGAGCAAAAAAGCTCAGGAACAGTGCCAAGCCCTGACTCCAAGCTCTAGGACTGATACAAACAAATAACCAAATAAACAACTTTTTTCACTTGATGGTTAATCAGACTTGAGGTGACATTCCAATAATTAGCCAGCACTTTGGCTATTTAATCTATTTGTAAAGTGAGAAAAACACTTTATAGGGTTCTTGTGAAATTTAGGACTCAATACATTCCCTGGCACACAGCAGGTACCTTCAAAATAGCACTGTTGCTATAGAGAGGAACATGCCTGAGTTTGTGCTGCTTGATAATTAGCAATAAGAATCTATAAGCCAAGTTAATTAGAAAATTGTAGCAACAGAATACTTGTGAGCACACAACTGAAATGGCAGAATCAGAAGTCTGGGCAGATTTACCTATGGTCCCCCAACAAGTTTTGCCTATAGATATCAATATTAAGTAATCTTTTATTTGTTAAGGGACATTATTGGCTATAGAAAAACATTTACAGTAAAATACCAGTGGCTCACACCTGTAGTCTTAGCTGCTATTCAGGAGGCTGAGATCTAAGGATTGAGGTTAAAGCCAGCCTGGACAGGAAGTCCATGAGACTCTTATCTCTGATTAATCACCAGAAAGCCAGAAGTGGTGCTGTGGCTCAAAGTGGTAAAGTTCAAAGCTCAGGGACACAGGGACAGCACCCAATCCCTGAGTTTAAGCCCCAAGACCGACCTCCCCCTTGCCAAAAAGAATTTATATTCTAGACCTGGGAGTGGTGGCATACTCCTACAATTACAACTTCTAGTCAGGTTGAAGCCAGAGGACTGTAAGTCTGAAGCTAGCCTGGGATATTTAGCAAGTCTTATCTCAAAAAGAAAAACAACAAATCATTAAAAACAAAAAACTCAAATTCAAAAACCAAAAATTGAAATATTCTAAACAAAGGAATGAAATTTATTGTCTAGCTATCATATATTTTCTTCTCTAACACCCACTTAAATATAATGAATGAGGTATATGAAACCTTCCCACTCCTCTTGAAAAGCTTCGTTGCTTATTAAAGCCATTTGTCACATGGGAGGGCAAGGCAATTTCTGTACTGATTCTTATATACAAAATCCAACATTTAAGTATCTATGAGTCTTAAAATATTAAAGCAAACCAAACCAAATAAACTACTCCCTAAAAAAAAAAAAAATCAAAGCAACAATGAAACCAGTCTGAAGACACTACAGAGGAAATAAATCAGGATTATCTCTTATTACTAAGTTGAATTTGGTTACATATTTAAGTAACAAGGTAACAGTGATTAGTTTAAAACAATATAATGCATGATTTGATCATTTATTTACTATGTAGGGAAAGCTGCTTATCAAACATATGACTTCATATTTACCTTTAATTCTATGGCTTATCTTCCACTGCTCAAACCTCTGTCTTCATAAATGGTAATTTCAATCTAAGCAGCATGGCTGTTAAGAAAATACACTGTAGAAAGATAATACATAGAGGGAAAAGGGGACTACAGCGAGGTATAGTGGTGCAATGCCTATAATCCCAGCATTCTAGATGTAGAGACAGGATGATCACAAGTTCAAGGACCGCCTGAGCTATGTAGTAAAGACCCTATCTAAAAAATGCAACAAAAGTGGGAGAAAAATGAGGGGGGGAGTAACAAGTTCGACAAGAAATGTACTCATTACCTTACTTATGTAACTGTAAACCCCTATGTACATCACCTTGATAATAAAATTAAAATTTAAATAAAAAACACCAACACCCTCCCCCCTCCCCCTGCAAATGCAATCAAGAAACCATCATCAAAAAACTCCCAAGCAAAAAAGTGACCAACACCAGACCAGCAAAATCTGCAGACTTTGCTTTCAATCTGCCTTGCTTATTTTAAAATTATTAGAATGGTTTCCTATTTAAGCAAAATATGCTTTCTCTACTTTGTTAAAAATTTAACAGGTAATTTTGTAATATTCCATGCATAGTTCCTTCACAAGCATCAAAGATTTTTTAAAAAATCAGAAAGGATGCTTTATTTCTTATTTCTTGACTGAGAATCCATAGCAGTAATGAAATTCAGGGATTCAAACATGCCCTAAAATTTATGAAAACTTTCTCTTAGGAGAGGGTTCATGACCCCTGAAGTATAATGAAACTGCTGAAATTATTATCAGCTGCAAGGCCCTGGTTTAAAAAACAATATATTTACCCATTACTTCAGTTATCAAGCTAAATTAGCTTTTAGCAATTTTATTTATGAATTCACTTAGTGATTTTTCGAAGCTTACTGCCTCTAAAAACATGTAGAGTATGTCCAAGGTAATGAAATGATACATTTGGCAGCTGTAACTGATTTCAACTACTCAGAGGAACCCTGAGAACTGCAATTCATTTGGATGACAAGTCTCACCACATTATGGGTTTGTATGTTTCAAAGGGGCTTCAAGTTCAGTTTCTACAGCTGCAATGCATTACTCAGACAACCCCCATTATTACTACAAGATGCCCTAAGAACCGCCACCAAGAAAGATGGTAACTAGAATACTAAACAATCCAGAGATCTGTACAATACAAAGGATGGAGAAAATGCTTTTAGAAAAAATGTTGGTGACAGGATGCTTATGGTATGAAATTCACACAGAAACTTCCCAAGGCAAATGTAAGAGACTGGAGTTAAATTCTCCTTACCCAATGTCAAATAGTGTCATCAAAATTTTCCTTTTATAAATATTTAGACTTTATAATCTGGACTAAAAAGATACAACTCGAAGTCCTCTCTCAATGGGGTCTGTCAGGAGGAGGCCTTGGGGAGCATATATCTTCTCATTCTGTTCTTGAATATATTTGGAGACTTTCTTCAGAACCTGACAGAAAGAAACCCCAGCTTAGTTATAATTTCATCTAATTTATCTTCAAGTATCATACAGATCTCAAAATATTCAGATGGTAGAGTAAATTTTTAAGGCATGTTGTAAGAGAACAGAATTCTGATTATCTGGCTGGTTACAATAAGTTGCATAGACCTATAGCACAGTGTGCTGTTCTTTTCAAGTCAAAGCAGAGTAAATGCAAATGTATATAAAAATATGATAAATACCCAACTCCATTCCTTCTTACCTCCTTGTCTCAGTCTTAGACAAGGAGGAAATAAACAGATTATATATACAATGGCTAGTGTTGCTTCTACTTCACAACTGATAACAAAATGGGGCTAGTTATTATCACTTCTTCTAATATCAAAGTCCTTGGCCTTCTCTTTTTAACACTTAAGAACTGTTTCTTCCCTCCTTTATACATTTTTTACCTATTTTAAGCAATGACACAAGGTTGTCCTTTTAACAAGAGTGAGCTCTGTTGGGTACAATGGCATATGCCTGTAACCCAGGAGGCAGAGATCAGGAAGACCATGGTTTCAGGATAGGCTAGGGAAATGTCAATGAGACCTCATCTCAACAAACATGCCTATGGTCCTAGCCATACAGAAGGTATAGGTAAAAGGTCTATCCAAAAATCAACTAAAGCAAAAAGGGCTGGGGCATGGGTCAAGTGGTAGAACAACCACCTAGCCAATGCAGGCCTTGAATTCAATTCCCAATATACCCCTCAAAAAATAGTTATAAACAACCATACCACATAAACCACACCAAACAAACCAAACGATAAACAAATAAACCTGAAGGGAACCCTGAAAATTTAAAACTAGAAAGTTTATTTCCTTTGCAAAACATGTTAATTTAATTGAGTTTCTGATCAAGACAAGAATCTTGCATCATTTCTATGTTTATATGTAGTGCTGTTCTGTACTATGCTCTTTCTTATTTTCTAGACAGGAACTTAAATGTATACGTTTAGTACTAAGCTTGTAAAAGTCAAAGCAAATGGTGACAAATACCAGATACAGTAAAAAGGAACTTCTAGAAATAGCAAAATCTACAGCTTTACAAAGGCAATTCTGAGACAGATAAGATAGAAGAAAATCTTAATAGCTTTATTCAAAACCAAACAGTTACATATTTTACTTCATGCTCCCTCATCTTATCCCTTTTTCTAGCTCTAATGTTTAAATTAGGCTTTGATTCAGCTCTTTAAATTACTATACATCTACTTAAATTTACACTATTAGCAATGATAAAGTTGCAAATGTAATCAGAACATAAAGGGAAAAAAGAACTATATGAAAATAAAGTTGGAAGTTAAGCAATGATATCAAAGTGTATGATGTACCAGGCCAAACTAAACAAGTAGGATGTTACAATTTAGATGACTGCTGTAATTGATTTAAAATTTAAATGTACTCTAAATAATTCTCTTAGTGAAGGAAAATAAAGTTTACTCATTTTACATCTTTGGAGATATAAAAACAGTGTGATATTATTGAAAAAGCAATCTGCCTGGCTCTCTAATAAATTAAAAATACTATTTTTGAAAAAAGAATTTTTTTTTCCCTACCAAATTTCCTGGTACAATACATAGCACTATCTCATTTGCAGCTTTCAAAGAATCTGAACTATCCTTGGGTCATTTTGAACAAAAACCTCCTTAGGCACTATCTTAGATCAGTGTGTAATGAACAAAAGGAAGCAGCTCATAAGGATGTCCATTTTAGGACTCTCAATCTTCTTTCCAATTTCCTTCTCAGCAAAACTGCCACAGTGTAAAACTGGAGATTGAGTCTTCCCTTCATCCCAGTTCATTAATACTAGAGAGGACACTCAGAAAAATGAGTGCATGATTAGTTTTGAAGGAAGGCTCTCTTCAGAACAATTTTCCCACTTCCTTTACTTGGGCACAGGTTACGAGTAAGAAAACAGCATTCGTTTATTTGACTCGAGTGACTGTTGCACAAAGTTTTAATTTAAACTTAAGTAACATTCACAAGTAGTTGAGTAAAGGTTTAGAGAGAAAATGATTAGTTTTCTTTTTGTATAAGCTCCAGATCCTATTATACTACTTTGGTAAAGGAAGAATTAGCTTAACTAGGATGCTTATAAACTTCTCGTCTCTTCAGCAATATGAACCATCAATACACTCATATTATAGTCCCTCATGCTACAATATCAAGCACCATACTCATCACAAGACACTTTTGGTTCATCTTTTACTCACACTTTATGTTTGATAAATCAATGTCGAAACAAAGCATAACATTTAACAGAGTTCCTTATTCTCAGGTTCTCCATAAAACCTGAATTTGTATAATATTTACAAAATGAAACACAATCAGCCTCCAGAAAGAACATTAAACTGGAGACAGTCTATTCTATCTTCAAGAAAACCAGTTCCAGTGAGGCTCAGTGAGAAAATCAGGATCTAAGTTTTCAGCAAATATTCAATGTCCTAACTGCTGGCTTCATAGCTCATAGCACACAGGCAAAAGGGATGCTTTCTAGCTGATAAACAAGGGAGACAGTTACGGAGGAGAACCTCTACAAGCTCATTTGTCCCCTACTTATAATAGATGACAACAATAGAACAAAACACTGCAGTCTTCATGTTCACTTCAAATCAATAAAAAGCATACTCTAGGGTAAAAACATACAATTGTTCCAGCAAGTTTTAAAAGGCTGATTTACAATTTCAAAAACTTTTAACCAGCATAACAAAGTACAAGTGTTAGTTATCATATTTGGTGAACCATTTATAAACTAGAAATTTTAGTGTTTAAAACAACAGACCCTAAATGACTCAACCCTGTTCTTTCATAAAATAATAAGTAGCACAGAAATTCCTAGAGGACAGACTAGGGAAAAGGGTTATTGTCCTTACTTTTCTGTCATTTTACCTAAACTAGATATTTAGAAAGTTTTCTAGACTATATATTAATTATTCCAGTTATTAATTTTACATGATATAGTTATTCACTTTCAGTTTCTAAACATAATCATCTATTTAAAAAATGTAGTCAGGTTTTTTGTTTTTGTTTTGCCGGTCCTGGGGCTTGAACTCAGGGCCTGGGCACTTGTCCCTAAGCTTCTTTTGCTCAAGGCTAGCACTCTACCACTTGGGCCACAGTGCCACTACAGGCTTTTTCTGTTTATGTGGTACTGAGGAATTGAACCCAGGGCTTTATACATGCTAGGCAAGCACTCTACCACTAAGACACATTCTCCCAGCCTGTAGTCAGGTTTTTAAGTCTTGTTTTCTTAACTACTTTTATTTAGTCTTTACTTGCTTTATAATATATACTCTATAAAAAGAGACCTTGAATAAAACTATAAAGGAATCACTTATATATTCTATAAACCCAAGTGTGTGTGTGTGTGTTTGAGCCTGGTGCTGGTAGCTCACACCTTGTAATTCTAGCTATTCAGGAGGCTGATATATGAGACTCTTGGTTTTGTCCAGCCTGGGCAGGAGAAGACTATGAATTTGTATAATATTTACAAAATAAAACTACCAAAAAGCCAGGAGTGGAGCTGGGGCTCAAGAGGTAGAATTCCAGCCTTGAGCCAAAAAATAGTAGAGCAATGCCTAACAAGCAAGAGGCTAAGTTCAAATACCAGTACTTTAAAAAAAACAACAAACACAATAAAACCTTGTATGACTTCACAAATACCCGATTAAAATGGCCAGCACTGGTGGCTCATGCCTGTAATCCTAGCTACTCAGAAGGATGAGATCTGAGGATAGAGGTTTGAAGCCAGCCTGTGCAGGAAAGTCTGTGAGACTCTATCTCCAATTAAGCACCAAAAAGGCTGAAATGCAGCTATGGCTCAAATAGTAGAGTGCTAGCCTTGAGTTCAAAAGCTCAGGGACAGCGCCCAAGCCCTGCGTTCAAACCCCAGGACTGACATGCATGTGCACGTGTGCAAGCACGCGTGTGCGTGCACACACTCACACATACACACACAGTACATACACAGAAGTGGAGCTGTGCCTTAAGTAATAGAGGGCTAGCATGAAGTAAAAAAGCTCAGGGATAGTGTCCTGGCCCTAAGTTTGAGCCCCATGATCAGCACAAAAATAAAAACACAAAAACTTTGTATAGATGTAACTTCCCTCCTTTGTTATATTCATCTCCTTCCCAAGTCTTGGTTTTATTATCAACATCTCTTGAAATAACTTGCATTCTTCTAATCTCAGTGCCCTGTTTCTGGTCCAAGCAGTGATCACCTTTACTAGAACTTCTTGGGATCTTCCTGTTTCCCTATTTCCAGTCTTAAGCTTTTGTCCTACAGAGCAAAAGGATCTAAAGATCTTTCTGTGCCTCTCTTGTGGAAAAATCTTTGAGTAGCTTCCCTTTGTACTAGACACAAAATTTACATTTCTTTATTCATTCCTGCATGAAACAGTTCCTGTTTGCCTTTTCAAATTCACCTCTAGTCATTTTGCCCCTCCTCTAGAGCCACACCACCCATCAATTTTCAGTTCTGGTGAACCAGCAACCTTCATTCATTCCCCATCTGCCTGAATTACATTGAGTGGCAGGTTAAATGTCATCACCTTAGATGTGTTTTCTGGTCACAGTCTAAATCAAGTCCTTCCTATTATTTTCTGTCAAAGGCAGGTTTTTTTCCTTCACTTATCACAACTTAGAATTTAGATGGTTTGCCAGGCACAGGGTCACAACTGTAAATCTAGCTACTCAGGAAGCTGAGATCTGAAAATTGAGGCAGGAAAGACCAGGAGACTCTTACTACTAATTAACTACCAAAAAGCCAGAAGTGCAGCAGTGGCTAGAGCACCAGCTATTAGCAAGAAAGTTAAAGGACAGAATCTTGGCCTCAAGTTCAAACCCAAGTACTAGTACACATGTGTGCACAAGCATGCATGCCCACACAGAATTTAGTAGTTTTACTTCCTTCCTTGTTACTGCCAGTTTGTTACGATTAAGTTACAAACTCCACAAGGTAGGTCAGCAACCACTTTTGCCTTATTCTGGTATGTCCCAGACACATTGCTTAGTATACTGCTTGGCACATAGTAGGCTTTCAATAAATGTTGATCAAATAACAGGTCTCTTAGCATTCACTTACCAAATGTGCTATCAAAGAGAAAATACTAAAACTCAGCAGACTGAAAACTGATACTAAGCCTTGTTAACTTTTGATTTTTGAAAGGTAAGTTAGCTGCTTCTCTAAGTGATAGGACTTAGGCTACATATATATATATATATATATATATATATATATATATATATATATACACACACACACACACACACACACACACATATTTTTACGTAAGATATAAACTATAGTGAAGACTAAGAGGATACACATCAGAAGACTTGTTAGTAACCACAGCAGCATTTTGGCCAACGGCTTACAGTATTTTAGGTACAACTATACCTGTTCTCCATCACATGGAGTGTAAGACAATCACAGGGTATTTCTATCAGGTAGGATACAATATAGATGATATTTACAGTGCTTCATTCTTTAAACATTGTCAGACTTATTGGATTTGTTGATCCACAGTGATCAACTTAAGGCCATTTATTTCACACATTCAAAGAGTACCTCTTATACTCAATACATATTAGGAATTAAGAGGAATACAAGAATGGCTAGATCATTGTCTATAGTTGAACAACAAATAGGACAAGACCATAAGCTGTTAAATTATGAAGTAGAATATGGCAGGTGCTAAAAATGGGATAGAAATCAAATGTTATAACGGTACAGAAGAGAGAAATAATTCTGATTAGAAGTCAGGAGAAGTTTAATGGAAGTGGGAAATAAGAACTGGTGTCATTTAAATATGGGAAGAATGCCATTCTAAGTGGAAGAAAATATCATAGGGTATCTTCAGTGACTGATAAATAATCAGATTTATTTGCCAAAGAAAGGGAGGGGAGACAGCTGGTAAGGTCAAACTGGAAGTTAGCCTGAGAAGATTCAACTTGACCCAGTTAACAGTAAATGGGAAGGCAGGGAAGGTCTCTAACTTAGCAGGAGTGGCAGGGGAAGGACAGTGTGTTTTATGAAGACACAGGAGACAGATTGGCAATACAAAAGATGAGTAATGAGTCAGAAGACTATACTCCGATATTGACAGAGGAAATCATGAAAGTTAGTAAATGGGAAAATGAAAGGTATTTTAGTTATTGACAATTATTTTCTCCTTTTATCCTTTGCACCTAAAGATGGCACTAGAAAGAAGGAGTGTTATTGATCAAAATGGTGAAGTGAGAGATTTGAATTTTGGACATTTCGACTTGAGAAGCCAGCTTTTCTGGATCTGATAGGCAGGTAGGAAGAGAAGAAGAAGAAGAAGAAGAAGAAGAAAACTCAGGTAATGTCAGAAATTAGGGGTAATAAAGCAAAAGGATTCTTAGGAACCTGGATAGAATGAGAACATACCTATTTTCTACAGCCACCTTACTTTTTTTCCCCATATATATTTTTTATTTTAAAAATACTGTACAGTGGGCTGGGAAGGTGGCTCAGTGGTAGAGCGCTTGCCTTGCAACCATGAGACCCTGGGTTCGATTCCTCAGCACCACATAAGCAAAAAAGAAAAAAGCCAGAAGTGGCGCTGTGGCTCAAATGGTAGCGCACTAGCCTTGAGCTGAAGAGCTGAGGGACAGCGCCCAGGCCCCATGACCAGACCCCCCCCCCAAAAAAAAATACTGTACAGAGGGATTATAGTAACATGAGTAGGGTAATGAGTACATTTCCTATCAAGCATTGACCTTCTCCTTTGTTTTTCCCCTGCCATCCTTTTTCTTCCCAACTCCTCCCTACACTCTCCGACCCTGAAACTGTAAAGTTAGTTTTAAATATACTGTCTTATACATCTCATGGTTACAATGGGTCAACCCATTGTATTTTTCAGCATTTTGTTATATCCCTTCCCCTCCCCAAATTATAAAAATGTATATACAAGATGCAGGACAGCAGCATCAGATACAGTGAAAACAGGGGTTATACTGTGGGGGAAGAACATACAAGAGAAACAAGAGAATCACATAGTACATTATAAGTATGTTAAAAACAATAGCAAGAAAGAAAAAACCACTTGTGTCCCTGTCTTGGAGTTCATTTTACTTACCATCTTATATGGTCATATGTAAATAGCTTTTGACCTTTTTTGCTTGTACTAGTTATTGCAAATAAGGGAAGCTGTGGGACCTATTTTTCTTTGGGTCAAATCTTTCCATTTCCTAACAAATGAGGCAATGTCATTTTTTCTGATGGAGGCACAGAATTCCACATATACCACATTTTCTTGATCTATTCATCTACTGAGGGTACAGCCACCTTAATTATAGGCCAATCTGAACACTGGTATATCAACTCCAAGAGGACATACCAATTTGATCCATTTCTGAAACACTTGGACTCATTTCTAGGTGCTCTGAACATAGAACAACAAAATATGAATTATTATTATAAATGCCCATATAGTTAATTGTTGCTATGTAAATAAGTATGTAATAAACTTCTTTATGATTTTAAGAGACTTTTGTGAATACAAATGTAACGTACCTTCTCATAATGGGTTTCCATGCACAAGAAGATGGTATATGCTGTTAAACAAGCCAAACAGCCTTCAAGATATGACTGGCCCCCAAGCTTCTCTGCTTCTGCATAAAGATTATTTAGAGTTCGAACTGTTTCTTCAAATTGCTGCCTATCAATCTGTAGAGAGGAAAGAATTTAAAATTAAGTCTTCAAAGAAAGATCAGAAACTCACCAATACTTGCTTTCATGCTTTTGTTTTTTTTTTTGGGGGGGTGGTGTAGTCTTAAGAGACTGAACTCAGGTTTCATGCTTGCCAGGTAGACTTTCTACCCGATGAGCCTTCCCCAACCCCTTAAAAAAAATTGTGATTTTTTTTATTGATGGGCGACAATTTTAGTCCTAAGCATCACTACATTGGGTACAATTGGTATAGCCCCTTTTGGGGTTGGTCATTTTTGAGGCAGGAACTTGCTTCAGGCCTTAGCTTTCATACTCCTCCTTATGTTTTCCCATGTAGGTGGGGAGATAGGCTTGTACCACTGTACCCAGTTTTCATGCTTCTCCAATAACTGGGATGACATGTGAGTACCATTAAATTCAGCCCTTGGATGAGATGGGAGTCTACTGGCAACTACTTTTTAGGTGATTAAATTTGGACCCAATCTAAGCTACTGCGTGGGGTTTAATTTTATCTATCTCATGAATACTGAGTAGCTTCAGGGCTTGATTTAGTACTTCTTTATATTAGATTTCAAGTAACTTAATTAAACAACCCAATCTATTTGTAATTTTTCAGTCATACAATTTCTTCAATTTACTTATACTCATTTTTATTAAACACCTTCTATAAGATACCATGATCAGCCTAAAAAATGCTGTTTCAATGCTCGAGTTTAGTTGTGCTAGCAGACAGATATGCACACATAAAAGCACAACACAGTGAGTACTATTAATAAAGGCATATATAAAGTACAGTGGGGGCACAAAAGGAGGAAGTTCCCTTTACTTGGGGAGTACTATTTAAGATAGTACTAAAACACTGGAATTTATATTCCTTCCCATAATGAAGAGGGAAAAGGAATGGTATTTAAAACATTGATCAGGGGCTGGGAATGTGGCTTAGTGGCAGAGTGCTTGCTTAGCATGCATGAAGTCCTGGGTTCGATTCCTCAGTACCACATAAACAGAAAAAGCCCGAAGTGGCGCTGTGGCTCAAGTGGTAGAGTGCTAGCCTTGAGCAAAAGAAGCTCAGGGATAGTGCCCAGACCCTGAGTTCAAACCCCAGGACTGGCAAATAAACAAAAAATTAAAAACTATTCATCAAAAGGAGCAAATTCTATATTCTATTTGCCCAGTCTCCTATTTTTTGTAACACCTGTTTTGTTACTAAAAACTACTGTTGAACTGACACATAACTCTTTACACCAAATCATTCTTGTTACATCTTTCTATTCAGTGACATTATTGTATGTTTAAAGTTGCCATTCACTGCCCAATGATAGTTTAGTCAAAAGACAGACTGCATATATAATAGTAGTTCTTCAAGATGATTTAATTTCTTAGTTACATGGCAGCCTTCTTAGTTTGTGGAAGACCACTATTTCACACATAAGGAAATGATCTGAAACATTTCTTGATCATGTGCTGTACACTTATAATACTATGATTTAATTTTTCTCTCTAGTTATCTTTTACATTCTTCTTCTAGTAGTGTTTTGTACATTTCAAATGTCAATACTTTGATTGATTGATTGATTGTGCTAGTCAACTTGTGAACTCAAGGCCTGGGTACTGTCCTTGAGCTTTTGTGCTCAAGGATAGCACTCTACTACTTGAGCCACAGCTCCACTTACAGCTTTTTGGTGGCTAATTAGAGATGAGAGTTTCACAGACTTTTCTGTCTGGGCTGGCTTCAAACTGCGATCCTCACATCTTAGGCTCCTGAATAGCTACCAGGTGTGAGCCACTGGTGCCCAGTTACTTTCAATTTAAAAAAATTTTTTTTTAACAGTTCTGTGGCTTGAACTCAGAGCCTGAAGTCTGTCCCTGAGGTTTTCTGCTCAAGGCTAGTGCTCTATCATTTAGCCCATAACTCCTCTTTTGGCTTTTTGGTGGTTAACTGGAGATAAGAGTCTCACAGACTTTCCTGCCCAGGTTGGCTTTAAACTGAGATCTTCAGATCTCAGCTTCCTGAGCAGCTAGGATTAGAGGGTGAGCCACTAGTGCCAGGTTCATACTTTGGGAATTTTTAAGTTTTTTTTTTTTTAAAGCCCTTACCAAATCACTGTAGATCATCTGTCTCTTATGCCTCTTATGCCTCTCTTATTCCTAAAACTAATAACTTTATGAGTTTTTTCTTTCTTTCATGAAATCCTTCTTTAAGTATTCAGGAGAAAAACACCCAACCCCCACCCCCCAAAAAAACATTAATATATTCTAGGCAAAAGTTTCCAAAAGAAACTTTGTGTGTGCTTGTGTGTTGTAAGAGATGAACCTAGAGGCTGTCTCACAAGTTCAGTAACCACTCTACCACCGAGCCACATCCCCAGCTCAAGAACATGGCTTTGGAAAGCATAAAACAATTCTTGATCCACTTTAAGTTATTAAAATCTTTTAGGTTAGAAGAAGCTGTGATCAGTTTTGTCTTTAGTATAGAAAGTAAGGATAATTAAGACCTTTAGTATAGGTCTTAATTGTCAAGTGGTATGAGAAAGTTTAATGTCACCTTTAAAGTACTTTTAACTTTGTTTTTGAAAAGGAGCTTTGCTTATCCTGAGATGCTAAGATTATAGGTGTGAGCCACCAGAGCCCAGTATTTAAAGAATATTTTGAGTTTCTGACAAGGGAAGGTTGGATATAGATTGTTTTAAGATGTGTCAGAATTGTCATCTGGGAACCTAAGTCTCAGTTCTCCTTCCTTCAGAACAGAGAATGGCTCAGTGAATACATGTTAGTGGCAAAGTACCATATGCATCTGACTATGCCTAAATTAGTGCCTTGTGCATTAATCAAGTTTGCTTTGAATTATTAATCCTTTTTTTGGGGGGGAGGATAAGAACTGAACCCAGGGCCCTGTACTAGAGCTACTAGAGCTACTCTCCCAGCATTTTTTTTTTTTTGTTTTTGAGATAGGGTCTTGCTAACTTTGCCAGTTATAACTAACTTTGTCAGGCTACACTTGAAGGCATATCCTTCTGCTTCTGCCTCCCAAGTAGCTGTGATTGTAGGGTGTATGCTAGCACACATGTCAATGCCTTAAGTTTCTTTAGGTAAGATTCAGAACCATGAGATTCAAATTAGGATACTCTTATTTCTTTCACATTAGAATTATTGTTTATACCAAGAATATCAATTCTTAAATTATTCCGAGATTGTAATGCTTTACTAGTTGGAAGCAGGCCAATTAGAAGAAAAAAGGAATAAAGCATTAAAAAAGAAAAACATTAAATAAAAAAAAAGCTTCTGATAGGCTAGGGGTATGGCTCAGTGATAGAGCACTCGGTGGTAGAGTATATACCCTGGGTTCAATCTTTTTCACCATTAGGAAACAGCAGTAACAACAAACAAGCAAAAAACAAAAAAGGAAGTTTCTGAAAGGTTATTATAAAAAAAGGAAAACTTTCTAAAAAATCATCGAAGGGCTGGTTGCCTGTGGCTCACACCTGTAATCCTAGCTACTCAGAAGGCTGAGATCTGAGAATGGTGGTTCAAAGCCAGCCCAAATAGGAACCTACCTCTTCTCTACAATTAACCAAAAAAGTGGGAAGTGGACAACACAAAACATTTGCATATTATTTTTTATTCTATTAAATAGCTAAAAGGAACACCAGAGTAATCAGCAACATGTCTAGGGTAATTAATAAACAGAGAAGAAACTTCTCTTCACATAAAGCAAGGAAAACAACTGTACCATTTAAATTTAAACACAACACAGGTGGGGAAAAAACAAAGCTTCTCCAAGCTTTTTTAAGTGCAAGCCAGTGTTTTAACCCAAATATCTAAAAGAAAGAAAATTCAAGGTCACAACTGAATAGTAACATAAAATTCCACATAACAGTACCACAGGTGGCTCAGGTGTATATAAAGTCAAAGAAGTAAAAGGATTCCAGAAGTTAGCAACATCAATTTCCTGTAACACTATCAGTAGTGTTGTGTCTACACAGGCTTCTGTACTGAGACAATAAATGTTCTACCACAAACACAGTGGAAGACTAGTGTCTGATTCTGCATATATATATGTTTGGCTCAAGTGTGAGGTGGAACTTTGACTTTTAAACCTATAAACAATGGTATCTTGTAACATGCCCAATAAGTGTGGTAAAAGAATATTCATATGTTGATTTGACAGAAAATAAATCGCAGAAAGTTACAATTTCCACTAGAGGCTTAATAATAAAAAATCTGATTCATTCATGTATATCTTAACAAGTAAGTTACAAGTTGTGATGTTAAATTATTTAAAAATAATATTTGGGGGCTGGGAAGGTGGCTCAGTGGTAGAGTGCTTGCCTTGCATGCCTGAGGCCCTGGGTTCGATTCCTTAGCACCACATAAGCAAAATGAAAAAAGCCGGAAGTGGCACTGTGGCTCAAGTGGTAGAGCACTAGCCTTGAGCTGAAGAGCTGAGGGACAGCGCCCAAGCCCAGAGTTCAGGCCCCATGACCGGACCAAAAAAAAAAAATAATATTTGGTAGTTTTAGCTTAATGGCAACCTGTTCAATGTCTATCTCTCCCAACCACTGTTTAAACGCCCAACTATTGTCACAGATTTAACTAATTATCATTGACAACAAAATGTACTGTTCACATAGCATTTCACAAACAAATACAAACATTTTTTTTAGGCCAGGTCTTGCTATACATAGCACAGGCTGGTCCTGACATCAGGATCCACCTGCTTAGTTTTCTGAGTGCTGGAATCACACAGTTTATGCACTATATATTTAAGGTGGATTTGATCTTTAACTTTGGGTCACTAGCCAAAATGCACTTATAAATCAAGCTGAAGGAAACTATAAATGATCATTGTTCATTTTCCAACTTTGGCAATTAGGCAGAACCTATTTCGATACAAACCAATCATTGCTGGCACTAGACAGAGATCAAACCCTGGGTCTCACACACTCTAAGCACTGGAGCTCCAAGCTATAGCCCCAGCCTACAAACCGACTTTAAATGACTGCTACACATTTCTCCAGTAAAACTCATCTCCACCCACTTAATCTATGACCAGCATTTCTTGAATCCACACCCACTTCATGCCTAGTTCCCTCCCTGCTGTCACTCACCCTCCATATCAAAGAGGAAACATTCATAAAATTTGATTCCAGCTAACCAGGAAACAGAATCTACATAGTATGGCTCAACAACAAAAGAATTGCTGTATGGCTGGGTGTATACATATGAACACAAGAAAACACACACACACACACACACACAAACACACACAACTCCACTGAACTTTTACAATAGGATACAAGTGTTGTGTATTAAATATGAAAAAATAGAAACAAACCTCGGTCTCATTTCTATAGGCAAAGATGTCCAAAGGACCTATATCTTGAAGACAGTTTAGATATGCAAACCAAACAGGTAGCTCCTAGTAATCACAACTGGGAGTGACTGAGTTCAAGGCCGGTTCTGAGATATTTTCCTGTCTGGGGCCAAGCAATGCTCTACATTTTTCAGGTTCCAAGAATGTCTGTCTGCCCCGCCTGGCAGCAGTAAGATCATGGTGACCTATGCGGCCAGCACAGTGATCACAAATGCCAGTCATGAGTATGATGATGTTTTCTCTTGGTAGAGAGGTAGGAGGATATAGTACACAACTTGTTGAGTGGGATGGCCTGGAGCTTCAAGAATGTACTCATCATAGTTGTCAATCACCCAGAATTGGGGGAGGAGGGCAGGAGCAACAGAGTAATGAGACTGCTGGGTACAACAGGTTGCTGGCACTGGGCATCATAAAATTCTATAGATCACACCACGGGGTTTGGCCTTACTCACTCTTCCCCAAGCACTAATGTAACCTTCTCTGGCCATGTTCCTCCTCTCCTGTCTGTTCCTCCCCAGAATCGTGAGACATTCAGCGGGCCGGAAGTCGGCCTAGCCCATCTCCGTCTTCGGGAGTCCCCCTCCCTGGCCCCGGGACAGGTGCGGGGAAGCTAGACTGCGTACCCTGTTCTCCAACTCTGCGGGAAACTTGGTCTGGAACTGACAGCGTGTGCCACTGCTGTAGTCGCGCTGAATGAACACCTTCCCGGACACCGGCGCCTGCTGCGGCCTCATGGCGAGGACAGGACCCGCCGCCCTGCAAGTTCAGAAAGGAGGGGCACCTTGGTCAGATCCCCGGCCTGGACCCGGGATTCTGGCCCGCCAGCCCCTAGGACCCACCCAGCGCCCAAAGCTGCCCAAGGCCTGCGTCTCGTCTCCCCCTTTCCCCCATGCTGCTGCAGGAAGGCTTAAGCTACCGCCCCTGCCCAAACCCCGCGCCCCCGAACATCCAGGTTCGGTCCGGGAAACACGAACCCGCCTCCTCGGCCCTCCAGCTGCTGTCGCGCTGCGCTCGCCGTCACTTACGCTCTGCCGCAAAAGCCTTTTCCCCCCGCCCCTTAGTTCAGCCTCCTACTACAAGTCTGTACTCCGCCCCATCTGCCGGCCGTAAAGCGACCCTGCCACGGCTGCGCGCTGCAGTGGGGGGGGGGGGGGCGGGGGCGGGACCAGGCCCACCCCTCCTTCTTCCCCCACGGAGGGCGGGGCCTTCCCGGTAGGAAGAGGGCTGTGGGGGCGGGATGGGCGGGGGGAGCTGTAGTGCCTTTAGCTGGTAGAGGATGCCAGGTTTTGAGATACGAGGTTTCCCGGATGTACAGTGGTAAAAAGCTTTCACTGTAAAGGGTCTTTTCATTCTCCTTCTCCCATTCATTAATAGGTCATTTTATTATAAGAGCATTTAAAAACTTTTAAGATTTAAGCCTTAATATTGTTTTTACATTTTAAGGTAATTTGCCTTTTGACAAATGCATAAAAACCTATTTGAATAGTTACATTTAGTTTCAATGCTTTTAGAGTAATGTTTATGAAACAATTTATGTGAAAAGTACGATTAGAGTATGAGTATTTTGCTGAAATCAGTGAGGGAAAATAAATGTTATGGAGTAAAAACCGAAAAGTATGTATTACTAACTCAATAACAACATAAGTTATATACAATACACTGCTTTTATGACTAAGTTTTGAAATTTTGCTGACTTTTAAGTCTTTTAAAAAACAGCTTTACAAAAGCCAGGCACCAGTGGCTCATGCCTGTAATCCCACCCTGTAATCCTAGCTGAGATCTGAGAATCAGGTTCGAAGCCAGCCAGGGCAAGAAAAGCTGTGAAATTCTTTTTTTTGGGGGGAGGGGGCTGGTCATGGGGCCTGAACTCTGGGCTTGGGCGCTGTCCCTCAGCTCTTTGGAGGGGGCTGGTCATGGGGCCTGAACTCTGGGCTTGGGCGCTGTCCCTCAGCTCTTCAGCTCAAGGCTAGCGCTCTACCACTTGAGCCACAGTGCCACTTCCGGCTTTTTTCTTTTTTCTTATATGGTGCTGAGGAATTGAACCCAGGGCCTCATGCATGCAAGGCAAGTGCTCTACGACTGAGCCACCTTCCCAGCCCTCTGTGAAATTCCTATCTTCAGTAAACCACCAGAAAACTGGAAGTGGTACTGTGGCTCATGTGGTAGAGCACTAGCCTTGAGCTGAAGAGCAGAGGGACAGTGCTCAGGCCCAGTGCTCAGGCTCCACGACTGACAAAACAAAAAAAAAACCAGCTTTACTCATTTTTAATTTAATTTTTTCTGCAATGTTAAGGGAGGAGGAAAGATTATATTAAATTTATTATTATTATTTTAGTACTAGTCCTGGAGGTTGAACTCAGGACCTGGATGCTGCCCCCTGAGTTTTTGGTCTCAAGGGAAGTGCTCTACCACTTGACCCACAACTCTCCTTCCACGTTTTTTGGTGGTTAATTGGAGATAAGAATCTCATGGACTTAACTGCCTGGGCTAGAATTATGATTCTCAGATCTCAGCCTCCTGAGTAGCTAAGATTACCTGTGTGATCCTTTACCTGTATTTATTTAATATTTTTAACTTACTTTATAACTTCTAAATACTGGATTGATGGTATGTGGAACTTAGTTTTCCTGTGGGTGCATCTGAAAGAGAATGAATACTTTTTATTTTTTTTGGTCGGTTGTGGGGCCTGAATTCAGTTCTTCAGCTCAAGGCTAGTGCTCTACCACTTGAGCCACAGCACCACTTCCGGCTTTTTCTGCTTATGTGGTGCTGAGGAATTGAACCCAGGGCCTCATGCATGCAAGGCAAACACTCTACCACTGAGCCACCTTCACAGTATGAGTACATCTTTTGATATGGATTAAATGAAAACACAAGAGACCTGTTGGAGATTGTTAGGTTCAAGCTAGGTGTCTGGACATGGGGCTGGAAGGTGTAGCCCAAGCAGAGCAGCACAGTACCTATAATAGTAGATGTGATGCTTGAAGAAGTCAAGGGGTCATAGTTGTATGTTTTCATTCTTTATTGGGGTAGGTAACTTACTTGTGCATTACACCACTCACCTCAAACACAAAGACCCAACAATTGCACATTCTCAGATCTCTCAGACATGAAACAAACTATTTATAGATTTTTAGAACCAGAAAGCAGGCTACTAGGAATGCATTTGACCCTTCTGTAAGCAGAGCTCAAGGAAGAGAGGGTAATCTGCCTAGGCCACATTTTCAAATGTCCCTCCTCCAATTCTTCCCTGAGGTGTAGTCTTTCTTTAGCCCAAAGAGTTGCATCTAGCACCTCAGCTCAGAGGACAAACAGTTCTGCTCTCCATGGCATTCCCTTTACTTTGCCTCTCCTTGCAAGACAGCCAGAGAAACGCCACTCTGTCTTTGTGTCCCATATTGCCTTTTATATATTTAATTTTCTACTGTTACTGTATATTAAAAGGGCATATAATAAATGGGTGTATATACATATGTATATATCATAGATATAGTGGCACATAAAAATATGTATAGTGACATATATACCTACACACATAGACCTATGTGCATACATACACATATAGGTATATATATGTATATATATATACATATATAAACATATGTCAGTATATATATATATACATATATATATATATATACTGGCATATGTAGACTGCACACATATAGACACATATATAATCTTGTATACATATATGTTATATACGCACACATATACCTGTACATGCTTAATTTGTTCAGAAATTGGTATGCTGTTTTTCAAACTGGTCCAACCGTTTTACATTTTACTAGAGTATTTGATAATCCTAGTTGCTCCCTCTTTGCCATGTAGTATAACTCCTCTGGTTATCATTTTCAAAATTCTGTGTCTGTAATTATTTTGGCAGGTTTATAAGTACTTACTTGCCATCCATATACATCTTTTTTTTTGTGAATTGACTATTCCATCTATCACTATACAGAAATATCTGACAAAGACTGCTTATGAAGTAGCAAGATGTTTATTTTGGCTCATGGTTCTGGAAGTTCAAGTCCAAGATCAGGTGGTCCCAACGGTCTGTGCCTCTGGCAAGGGTAGCACATCATGATGGAGAACATGCCCTGTGCATGCTCCTATCTTAAATCACGAAGTAAAGAGAGGATGGTGGGGCCTGCAATTCACTTTAAGGGCACACTTCTAGTGATTTAAGAATATACCATAAGGGCTGGGGGGGGGGATATGGATTCGGAGGGGAGGGAGGTGAGGATGGGAAGGGATGGGAAGGGGAAACAAAGGAGGAGGCTACAATGCTTAGTAAGAAATGTACTCATTATCTTGTCCATGTAATTGTAACCCCCTCTGTACAGTTTTTTCACAATAAAAAAAATATACCATAAGGGCTGGGAAAGTGGCTCAGTGGTAGAGCGCTTGTCTTGCATGCATGAGGCCCTGGGTTTGAGTCCTCAGCACCACATCAGCAGAAAAAGCTGGAAGTGGCGCTGTGGCTCAAGTGGTAGAGCACTAGACTTGAGCTGAAGAGCTGAGGGACGGTGCCCAGGCCCAGAGTTCAGGCCCCACGACTGAAAAAAAAAGAATATACCATAAGATCCTACCTCTTAAAAGTAAATAGCACCTCTCAATACTGACACACTGAGGACCAAGCCTTAACAAATAAACTTTTGGAGATCATTACTCATATTAAAACCACAGTAGTTTGTTTTCCTGTTATTGAGTTTAGACAGTTCTTTAAATATAAAGTCTTTATTTTTTATTTTTATTTTTTTGGGTCTGGTCGTGGGGCCTGAACTCTGGGCCTGGGTGCTGTCCCTCAGCTCTTCAGCTCAAGGCTAGCACTCTACCACTTGAGCCACAGCGCCACTTCCAGGTTTTTTCTTTTTGCTTATGTGGTGCTGAGGAATCGAACCCAGGGCCTCAGGCATGCAAGGCAAGCGCTCTACCACTGAGCCACCTTCCCAGCCCCTAAAGTCTTTATTAAATACATGATTTGTAAACATTTTCCCTTAGGCTGTAGCTTGTCTTTTTTAAAACATTTATGGACTTGAAATTGAGGTGTGGACATCTTAAAGATGATGTTATTTTGCTAACCACAGATATAGATTCAAGCTCCTTCACCCTAATATGATTTACCTAATTGTTCTAGCACCCTTTGTTGACAAGACATTATTCTTCACTGAATTGCCTTTGTACCTTTTCCCAATCTCTCTCTCTCTCTCTCTGTCTCTTTCTCTTTCTCGCTGTATGTGTGGTTGTTTTAGGCTTTGTATTCTGTTTTGTCATCTGATTCTTATTTTGCATTACATGTCTTCTGTTTGCTGACTTGGTAAACTCTCTTGGCAATAGTTTTGCTACATATTCAACATTTGCAGTTGAGTACACCCTCAAGAGGCAAAATAGCCTCTACCCTGAAACTCTCAGTTCAATGAGATAGACAAAGAAATGAAACTTTTTTTTTTTTTTGCTATTTAGATCATACTAGCCTTAAATTCATGATCCTCTTATTTTTCCTTCTGTGTGGACAAGGGCCACTAGGAACATAGGTGTGTGGCACTATGCTTGGCTTACACAGTTTTTATACATTGGCATTTGGGGATTTCTCTATAGTGGTAGCCACTAAGAGTAGGTGGTAAAACAAATTATTTTTTGCCTCAGGAAATAGGCAGATAATTATCACCTAATGAAAACTCTCTTGGTGTTTGGGAAGAGGATCCTGGGTGAAAAATGAATCAAAAGGTAGTAAGTCATATTAAGAGTGTCACTAAGTGAACATTATACAATGCTTAATACATGCATAATACAACACAGAGCTTTTGAGCAAAGTGGAGATGTCCAGAATAGCAAGGAAGGATTGGTTTCTTACTGGTTCTCAAGGTTCAGGATCTAAACTTCCTCATTGGAAACCAAAGTAACCTAAGTGCTACCTAGCTGTTAGATGAGAACCAGGACTAAGATGGTGCCTCTAAATGTCTTGTTATATGATCTATGCCTGTGATTGGAGAAACCAGAAAACAGGAAACACAATAACTTGGAAGAAACTTGGGAAGGGAAT